ACACACACACACACACACACACACACACACACACAGGCAAAGTACTCTTTGTGTGTATGTAGACGTCATATGTTAATGACCCTATGCATATTCATGTAACCACAATAAAAGGAGTGCTATGGGGGACCTGGCTGAGAGTCTGACGGAGGTCAAGTGGTGGAACGACACTTGGCTCCAGGCAGGTCTCCCTCATGCATGAGTAACATGAAGAACTTTGCCTACTCGTGTCTTGCTTTGCTGTGTAATTATATTGTCCTCAACGTTCCAGCGAATAGGTTCAAGCTACAAACCTATCAACTTTGTTGAAATAAATGGATTACATGGCGGTCTTTTTCTGTTTCATATGTTAGGCTTTGCTCTCTCTGTTTTTGGTAATTCCACACTGGTGGAATCCCAAACAAAACACGCATTAAGAGGCTCTAATGCCTGTGTGTCAATTTTGCGGTCCATGTCACCCCTACTTGTGGCCCACATGAAGAAATATTGTTTAAAATTATTATTCAAAAAGTTATTTAATATGAAAGTGATATGAGCAGATTGTTCCAAGCATTGCCCTATACCCGTTATGTGCAAAAATAGGAGAGTTGAAAAGTACGAGTTATCACTGAGCAGAGACGGGAGATGGAAGCATGTAAATATAATAACAACCACTGCAGCCAAAAAGACTTGACTGTACACTGTGTTCGTGTTTTCCTCCGAAACAATAAGCAGCCTTTCAATGCCTCTCTCTGTCTCTCACTAGCAAAGTTGTCCCAGACAAGTGCTAATGACGAAGCTGTCTTTGTTTTGTAATGAGCTTTTGTAATCTTTCGGCTACAAGGTCGACACGGAATCAGACATATTAGCCAGAGGTCCCTTTAGTACGGTTCGGAGCAACAGACCTGTTTTATATATGTGCTGAATAATTTTCTATACAAGATCACTGCAAAAACTCGCAGCCTTACCTAATGTCCACCCTACTGTTACTCATTTGATATTAAGATCTAAAGATCTAGTTGGTATTGGTATGGTGAGTAACCCTCAGTAATAGTAATAAATCACATAGCAATAGTAGATCCATGTAGTTGTAAAAAGCTTGATAATATATTAAGTAATCCAAAGTATTCAGAATACATTATTCTCATTGAGTAAAGTTACGGAATACACTACACAATACATTTAGAGGCATGTATTCTGTAATCTGTAATAGAATATATTTTAAAAGTAACCTTCCCGACACTTCACATAGGTACATTCCTCCACACGTGCTCAACACAAGTGGAGATAGTTTTGATGTAATAGAGAACATTTGGATAAACAAGGATCAGATATTAGCATTGCTGATTGAATATATTAGAAAATGCATTAACATACTAATTAAATTTAGAACACCATGGTCAGGTAATTTTTCTCCATGTGCAAGTAATATTGATAGGATTACAAACTCCATTAAGTGTTCTAGAGTTAAGAATGAACAGTCATAATTTTCGGGACATGATGCTGTACACATCAGTGGTGGCTTGCTTACCTATCTTGTGGAAGAGTTCAGGAAGGTGCACTTCAACCTTTTCTCTTTGGAACATGTGGTACTCTGCCTGTTCACAAATTGGAGGGATCATGTTGAACTGTCGTGCCACGGAGTATGCCTCCTACAAATAATAGAGGAAAAAGCACCAAACATTTTTATTGGTCCATGATTTTCACCAAGAAACTGACCCTGTTTCAGTAAGTACTGAGTAATCCAATCCATTTAAGTGGAAGCATGTAATGTAGGCACAACCTTGTTTCTCGATTTTCTAAATTAATTAATTAATTAATTTTTAAATTTTTGCAGATGGGACACATATGACTGGGGGACAAGAAAGAAAGAAAGAAAGAAAGAAAGAAAGAAAGAAAGAAAGAAAGAAAGAAAGAAAGAAAGAAAGAAAGAAAGAGACAGTGAGAGAAAACATTTTTTTAAAAAAAGGTAAAAATCCCCTGATCACCTGTTGAGAGAAAAGCAAAAATGAAAAAAGAGAAAAAAAAGCAAAAAAAGAGCAATACAATAAACACAACAACATTGCAAGTACGTAGATAATTGTAAGCAACAGTAAATACTAAATATTGAATGTATTGTGCAGCATGCAAGACCACACAAGCACACAATGTGCTTTGAGGTAGCAGCCAAGGAAGATATAGTTTGTGTCTGTGAGGACCACAGGACACCTGTGTGAACACTTGTATTCAAAAGGTTTCTCCATGTAATGATCTGCTGTGGGAAGCCATAGCCATGTCCCCGGCGCATGAAACAGGCATGGAGGAGATCCAGGCCCAGACATCCAGAGGTTCCCAGAGCATAAAAGCCCAAGAAGGACCATCAGAAGGGCAACGGTGCCACCCTCAGGGAAAGAGCTGAAAGGAGCCTTAGGTGTGGGGTCAGCCAGCAGTCACCATGCAGAAGCCACAAGGAGCTGCAGTGACATGCCTGTGGGCTCTGCCAGCAGCTAGCCATGCCAAAGTGGACCGAGCCCCAGGCCCAGAGGCCCAAGGTCCAAGGGCCCCCCCACCCCCCAGAAGGAGTCAAATGTGATGGACTTACAATTTAAAACACACATAAATGTTGTATTTTACATCTGATTGCCCTAAGGCCTTATGAGGTCCTCCACACTATGCACTTGAGCATATAAAAGTGTTGATCACCTCTTTCATTGAAGTTTGAGTGTTTTAACCCTTTCATGCATAGTAGTCACTATAGTGGACAGCTACTCAAAGGCTGTTTTCTTGTATTTGTGTCAGTGTTAATGGTATGTTTGCACATAAACCACTACACTGGATACTGCTGTGTCACTCCATACTGTGCAACCCACTGGTCATTTAATGTTACTATAGATGCATGCAGTGTTGGGGAGTAACGGAATACATGTACCGGAATGTACTGGAATACAATTTTAAATAAATTTCTTCATTTAGTGACAATCATTTTCAAACCAGTACATTGGATTTCAAATTAAGCTAATTCAAATTCAATTTTAGAATTTGAGTTCAATTTTATATATTATAAGGCAGCACGGTGGCACGGTGGTTAGCACTGTTGCCGCACAGCAAGAAGGTCCTGAGTTCAATTACACCATCAGGCCGGGGTCTTTCTGTGTGGAGTTTGCATGTTCTCCCCGTGTTTGCGTGGGTTC